AAAGTTAGTGACTTTGTATGCACGTGAATGTCAACTCGTTTAGCATTCAAACCACATGGTTCCTGCCTTGTTAGCTCTTGAATCACATGCCCCCACCACTGCCCCGACCCCCATCCCACATAAAACATATGTAGGGAAGTGTGAAGTTTAGATGACAAACAAGTGATTAACTCCTTTGAAAGGAAAAGCATAAATGAGTGAACATGAACTCGATGTTAGCTTAATAAACTTCCAAACTACCTGCACTGTACACTTGTTTGTCACATGAGGAAAGAGCAGCACAGAGATAGATGTAAAGAATGGTCTAATGCTCCTCTCTAAAAGTTTTTTTTCTGTATGGATTTTTTTTTTATGTAACTCAAATCAGGGAAACTAAACCGCAGATGTTGTACCATAAGTCTACATATCTCACCTTATATCTTCTTATCAACTAGCGGCTCCCGTCATTTCACGCCTGGTGATGTGTGAGGTTCGCACAGACGTGCTTCTTGTGTAAATACCAGTTTTTGTGGAAAAGGCGCCTGTATGGTATTTGTGCAAATGCATTAGTTATGCATTGATTTGTAGGATTCCAAAACAACGCTGTGAGGGACCACAGAGGGACAATGAGCTATCCAGAATAGACACATATGGTGGATCATTCTTTACTGGAAGGACCTGCCGGGTAACTGGAGTGATATGTCCAATCTCCTCTAAACTGCCACAAAATAAAGACGAATAACACACACATAATAATGAAAACTGCGAACGGCCTGGTGTCCGCCACACATTTCAAACATAATGTGAAGCTGCAAAACACTGCCAACATATTACCCGAGTGCTTCAAAAACACCACAAGCCACAAACTTTCAGAGGGCTTTGCTCTCGATGGCTGTTTTTTTTTTTGTGGCTGTGTTTTCCTTTGTGATGCCACAACATGATTTCAGGCGGACTCCTCTCGATAAATATCCAGGAGAGAAAACTGGGACGTAACCGTTTTCACTTCCCTTGAGACTAAACATCAATTATGTTCATAGAAGCTCCCAACTGGAAAAGAAACCTACCCAGTAAGTTTAACCAGCGCTCAGCCGTTTGCACGGTGTCCGTGTTGTTTTTCTTCCAGTATAACTCAGAAGCCTCTTTAGTTGGACAGTAGGCTACGTTGTAACCGATCCGCCCACAGCGGACACAACAGCGATGATCTGTGCCACTAAAAGTGGGCCGGTAAAGATAACTATTGTAGGAGCACAGATATGAATATTTAATGGGTATTTGTTCGTAATGCACTTTGAATAATTAATGTCACGTGCAATCCATTTTCAAGCTGTGGCCGATCACACAACAGCAGCGCGTCGGCTCCAAATGGAGACCAGAGTCGCTCTGGCAGCCAGTACACAGTGCAGTCATTCCCCGATAGCCTGAGAGGCTAATGCTGCACAAGTAGCCCCCTGTTGCATCCTGTTCAACTTGCTTGTTTGTTTGTTATTTTCTGTTCTTCAAGCGTGTGGGGAGGGGGCTTAACAGAAAGTGAGTGTTGTTTCCCTTTCTGAGCCTATTTAATGCATCCTCGACTTTATCGATGAGTTATGGCTCCTTGTCTCGTTTCCTTGTCACATTTGTCCTCCCTTTGCAGACGAAAATGGCATTTTCCCTCAGCAGAGGACTCAAAACGGGCATGGGGTTCATCCTCTCTCTCCCTTTACAGCCATCAAACGAGGACCCTCGGGGTTCAATATTTTCCTTCTTCCGGTCAACGCAGCACCGCTAAGGGCCGCACGAGAAGTACAACATACTCCTTATCCGTTTCTAGTGGGTACATACCAACGGACTACAGGCATAATGACGTTTCATCCAAACAGCTAAGGGCTAAGCTAGGAGCACACGTGCACTTTCAAACAGAGTGATGCTGAAAACAACCAAGCAACTTCAAGTCACTCTGGTAGCAAACTAGCGTGAAGATATTAGTCGTTAAGATGCTCTTTTGAAGAAGGTTTTTATAAATGGACCTCAACAGAATTCACAAATCGAAAAAGGAGAACAGGATGGAAAAATGCAGTGTCAATGAAATGGAAAAACACAGCGGATAGTTATGAAAAACTCTGGCTGGAAAGGATCCTACAAACGCAATTTCTGGTTAGATACCATGATAGGTGTCCCTGAATGAGACGTTATTGGAAAAAGTGTGCATTGTTTATTAAATATTGAGTTGTTTCAGAGAAAAAAGCTCAGATTTTTATCAGTTCATCAGAATGGATGGAAAGGGGAGAAAAAAGTGTGGAACACTGATTCAGGACACTGATTCTACTGCATTTTGTTTCATCTCGGTACCTGTAAGAGTTTAATCTAATCTAATCCAATTCTTTGTAATAAAACCTCATCTGATTGGTCAACATCTCCTTTTCACACCCACTGGATTGGTAACAAATTATTATATTTTCTAGCTTGTGTTAAGCTCTCGGTGTTTGGGGCCGCTCAGACAGAGGCTGGTCTGCTGAACCGCTTTCACCTTTGAGCTCCACCAATCAGCAGCTGAGCCTCAGCAGCAAACTTTGCCCTCAGTGGTCAAACAGGTAAGCGGAGGCTTAGGGCTTCCAGGCTACTGGTGGAGAAGGGACTTGTGAAACTGGCGGCATGTTCACATACGATTGTAATGTGATCCCTACACTATAATCTTGGTTGTCTGTTTAAATACAATAAAAAACATACAATGGATAACCTACATGGAGACCTGGGTTCAGGTTAAAAATAGTTCACTATACTCTGATTAAAAGGAAAGTGCACAAATCCTGGATTAGTCTGCTTATCGATCAAATGCCTTAATGTATCTTTGCGAGAAACGGTTTAGTAGGAAAGAAGTGTCAACACTTTGACTGCATGATCAGCTGAGGCCGCCAACCGGGTGGTTTCTTTAAACATTCTGCAGTAATCAATTATCAAATTAAACCAGATATCGGACCAATACTATTTCCAAGAGCTGGATGGGATATTCGTGGCAATACGCTGATCTGGTATCCTTATTAAACAGTTCATGACATTAATATGCATGCATGTACTAGCCATGTTTTCTTAGCTATCAGACTATGTGGGATGGCCATCAAATGCTACATAACTGATTCAAATACCTCAACGATTCCTATCAGCCCCACAGGTATCACACTACTCCTTTCCCGCCTGAAATCCCATGCTTCATTAGCTGCATGAGAAAACTGAAACACTCAAAAAAAGAATAGTCTGCACTTCTATGAAGTACACGTGTCCTAGTGTGACCACCAGTTTGACCTTTTATAGGATGGGAACATGGTCGTAACACCCACGGTTTTCTAAATCTTTAGATTTCACTCAATTCCAGGCCGCTCGTGGGATATGGAGATTTTTTTTAAATTTGCATATTTATAATGAATTGACTTCTGCTTTACTAAGTACTAAAGGGCACAAATAATGCCCACGTCTACAAATTGTGAAATAATATACTACTATATATATATATATAGTAAAATCTGACAATGACGGCTGATATATCGGTAATAACTGGGCTCTACTGTAGAAACTGCAGATGAGGAACGCTGGATTACAGATTTGACTGTGGAACTTCAGGGAAAGTCCACAGAAATAAACATTAGGTTTGACGCCCGGATACTAAAATAAGGTAAATATAAAAGGTAAAGATTTGTGGAGGGTCTCAGCCGGTTAGCGCAGGCATTCACCATAAACAACATCTAGAAATGCCATTTGTAATGTGATGGTTGTTCAGACTGATGAATTAGGTTGTGACACACATTTTAAGAGTTGAGCATCACAAGCCCCTTATGATACACCTAATTACCATCTACTCACAAAAGGGAATGGCTGGTGGGAAAACTCCCCTTTCTTGTTGAGTTTGTATCCTTATAGTTGAAATGCCCTTAATGGAAGTCGCTTTGGATAAACGCGTCAGCTAAATGACATGTAATGTAATGATGAGGAAGTGAGAACGTCTCAAGTTTCGTTCTTTTTTTAAAGTCCCAACCAGGCATAAACTAAAACTAGAAAGATGCCCACAAAAAGTAAGCAAACCAAGATTTTGACTTTTTATATATCTAATCAGATTTTAATCTGTTTTACGAGCAAGAAAGCTCATGAAAATCCCGTTTCAACGGATGGACTGAGCTTTACTACTTTCAGAACGACACTCAATTTGGACCTGTGGTTTATGCGAGAACATCCCTCCTCGCAAGTTGCGGGTCTTGTAATTCAAATATCAATAACAGAGGTATCCGCTGATCTACAAGGAAAGCATGTAGCCTGGAAGTGTCTGGTCTGGACAATATCTTGAAGAAGAGGTTCCAACTACAGTTAATGTTATATAAAGTCTGTCAAATATAGCCAACTAAAATGCAGCTGATAATTGCAGTACACTATCTAACGTTTCTGTCAAAGAGGCGTCGTGTCAAGATAAGTTAGCCAATGAGCCTCTTAACTTAAGTAATGAATGTCAAAGATTGTGCAGTTCTAGACCATTGATAAATATCGTTTGTTTACCACGTTCATGCCCCCATAAGGGGCCCCCCGAGGAAAAAGCAGGCTGAGCCTCCCTGATCCACCACCTTTGACACAGGCAGTACTTAGTGGGACTGCACAGGCACGGCTTCCCACGGTAATCAATGCATTGTCAATCAATGCAAGCGAATCAAAAGAGTTGAGATCGGAGTGCGGTACCATGAAATGGTTAATAAAGAGGCTGGCTCAAAGAGAACGCCTCGGGTTTGACCCGAAACATGTGAAGCTGTAATGGTAACTTTACCGGAGGGGTAAAAAAAACAAAAAAAACACGCCAAACTGGATTAGGAGAACTCCCACAAACACTTTAAGGTTCAGAAAAATCTTGTTTTTAATATCCCACCAGATGAGGCCTACTCCGCACGTCTGTCACCGCGGACCGGCCGCGCGCACATTGAGTGTCCCGGGAAGAGCTCGCGCTTCGCGTGTCGTTCTGCTACAACGTAACAAATCGGATATAAAAAATAAAAAAAAAGTGTACTTACGTAACGTCTCAACTTTTTTTCAGGAGGCGACTTTCTCAGCCACCCCGAGCACACCACATCTCCCCCGCTCATATCTGCTCCCTGCGAGCCCTCCCTGGAGTCGGGGAGGTGGGGGGGGGAAGAGATTGCCGCTCGGCTTCGGTTGCTTCTGGGAGTGTCGTCTTGTACCTGGGGACAGAAAACGTTTTAAAAATAAAAAACAAAGCTCAGACGGTGAACTTGTTATATAAAAAGTTCGATGGAAGTATGTTGGGGGGGTTCTGGGAGGGGTAGGGGGGGATAAATACCGTCACTCCCTCGAAAGTCGACCCGCCGACAAGGCAGTTTCTCTGAAAGGCACAGACCAGATTTTCCACGCGTTGGGAGTCAAAACACGGGTATATCCAGCGCTCGGACTTGATATAAGCCTCCACGGCACCGCCTTTTGAACAAATATCAACGGTGACTTGTGTGTTTTGCTCAAGCTAGAAGGCTGTGAAGGCAGGGGGGGGGGGGTTAAAGCCACACGCAACTGAAAGTCGTTAAGTTGTTTTGTGTTGTTAACGTTATATTTAACGTTTCATGCTAATTCCCGTCAAAGTAACGCGATTCCCAGTTGGCGAGATCAGATGTAAATGCCCCGCAGTGTAGCGGTGCATAGTGTTTCTGCGCGATATTTTAAAAAAAAAACAATCTTCACCGTAAACACTGTGGTTCCGCCGAGCTTCCTCACCAGTTTCCTCCCATGGTTCCTTAATTGTGATTGACAGTGTGGCTCCGTCTTTCCCTGAACTCACCCTCTTCTGGAACATGTCAAGCTGCCTAACGGATACAAAGCGGATGTTCAAGCATTCTTTCAAAATAAGTGTTTGTTTGTTTTATTATCAAGAACCTTCCCTTTGAACGATTCAATGGTGCCGATTTTTTAACGTGACTGACATCATGTACATTCGCCGTTTTGGATTTGTTAGTTAATATTTGCCAGCTGCAGTTGTTGGTCAGTGCAAGTGTTTTTTTCAAACTTCCAAAGTCTTGGGTATTTATGATATTTATGTTAGTAAAAGCAAATTCAATTTTGCAAGTGGATTAGGATCTTCCTTCAAGGTAATATTTATGTTTCGAAAGTAAAACTACGCATAACCCATTTATTCAACACACTTCTTAAACGTTGAGAGATTTGTTTTGAAAGTCACTACCGGATGTCACGTTTTTGCAGCCCTGCTGGGCTCATTACTTTAGAGGCGGCGGCGTGAAGCGAGAATTAAAGAGCTTCGAACGTGAGACATGTAGTTTAACAATCGATTGTGTCACTAACAAATAGCCGTAGAGCGGTTTGATGGATGAAACGTGATATATATCCAGTGATATATAGCCACATGCACCTCTAGGTGATTCCAAAAAAGTGGACTCAAAGAATTGCAGAGAAGACAAAGAAAGGACCCACCTCAGTCTGAACCGAGTCCCAGGGATTCATTGCACGTCCAAACTACATTATCCATAATGCGTATTTATTCCGTTAAGAAAAGTCGTAAAGTCATGTTTATTTGTTAGTAGAATAGAAGGAAAGCACTGTAGTCGTCTACCTATTGTAGGGTGTCGTTTTATGTCATTTATCTTCTGTGGTATTCTGTGCTGTTCATACAGTTAAAATATTGTATTATTTGTGCTTACTTAGCTAATCCTATATTCTTTGTCATCACGTGTTGTTTAAAAAAAAAAAACTAAATTCTAAAATAGATTAATCAGGCTATTTGTACCACAACGCTAAGTAAAGGGTATGCTCTACAAGTGTAATCGTGATATGATTTACCACATCTGGTCAATATACCACATGGCATCAACAATAGTGTAAATCACTAGCAAAGACGTGGTCCCTGTAGACCCACGGTGGTATCCGAGGAATCTATTGGAATGCCATTGTAATGGTAAACCCTCCCCCCCAAAGGATGTTTGTTGTTGTTCTATGAGTGATGGCCTTGTCATTGTGCATTACCTTTTCAACAGCCGTGGTACTGATGAAGAAATAGGGAGCAATTAAAGGATGTAGACACAATACTACGTTCCCAGTCAGGGTAGCCAGCATATATTTAGCTCAAACGGCTCCGTTTTACCACATTCATTAGCTCGTGCGCAGTGTTCTGGATGCATCGTGCTTCGTTAAAATGCTTTTCTAAGAGGCTGTGGATTTGTGTCTGTGAAGTTGTCTTCATTATTGTCTCTTGGTGCTGCACGTTACGGCTGCATACATCTTCAGTTTTTGTGTGCAATGCATAACTCATCTGTAATGAAGGCAGAGGAACAGACCAGGCTTACTGTCAGTGCACGCCAAATGAATATGTGTACGTATACACATGTGTAATGTATAGAACTACAACATATAACATCAGTCAATATGAGAACATCTTAATATTACACTGAATTAAACAGAAGATGTATGATACAATAATGATACTTTCGTTTTATATAGCGCTTTTCTTGGTACCCAAAGACGCTTTACAATGTATATCTAAATAAGGGAACAATAGGTTCTTTTCAACAAATGTGAAGTGAAAAGTGTCACACTTTGGTTGTTAGTTGAAAATCATTCATTTATTTTTTCCAAATTACCGTTGAAAGGTTTTTTGCCTCTACAATTTATTTCCCATATCAATAGCTAATTAGTAATAAATGGCACCCTGTTGCTGTTGGTTGTTTGTGCCAATGGGAATAATAAGTGATTGCATGTTGTTTCCCAGTTCCTTTTTCAGACACAGCTTTTTTACCCACTTCCATTTATGCAGAAAACATTTTGCTGTCAAAGCAAAAGGGGATACTTATCAACAGAGAAGACCAAATAATAAAAAGCTGCAGGCTTTAGAGTGGGATTGTTGACGTGAGTAGTACCAAAAAAACACTCAGAATTTAACAGTCAACCATTTTCATTTTGACGCATCAATTCAATAAAAAAAGAAACTGCTATTTGCAAATCTATCTTGTCACACTTAAGATGTAGAAGACGTCCAGCCCTAGTTTTAAAAATGTCTGTATATACTGCAGGAAAGAATACAAACGACAAAGAGTGGATGACTTTCCCATAAACCAACCAAAGGCAAGATTTAGATGGCTTCTTGTGGGAAATATATTACATGCAGTGGAAACAAACAGGTCATGCAGACATTGAGCTACGCTTGAGCATAGGACACTCACAATTTGGATGTTTTCCAGTATTAATTAGATAAATACAAGGTTTCCATCAACCATCTGAAATGTTATCTTGCAGTTCAATTGAGTATTTAATAATTGTCCTTCCTAATTTTATGTTATATGATAGCAATTATATTTATAGTGAAGTCCCCAACATCGGCCCACCTCTTTACTTTAAATAATCTGCCTGGTTAAGTAAGACAATACAACAAATCCCGGTTGTTTTTTTTAAATATTAGCACAGTACAGCTGAAGTACGTGAATCCTGACAAAGTCCTCTTCAGAAATCTTCATTAAATATAGCAAAAAAGGCACATCAAATCAGCTGGAACACCAAAGTCTCCCTGAATGATCAACTCAGAGGAATACATTAAAATATGCTGTACAACTGTTGACTATTTTCAAATATGTTTCAACACAACTTATCAGTCAGCATTAGGTATTCATGTTGAAAATGTGGGGCATCGATGACCCAAATGTAGTATTCACATTTGAACACATAGTTTTCACTTTCGTGATTCAAGTCATATGTACATTTATTGCATGGGATATGAAACCTGTAAAACACAGCAAAGCACACATCAAAAGAGAAGATCATGAAAATCTGAAAACAGCTTGCAAAGAGAAGCTGCATGCAAATCAGAAAAATACAGTTTGTGAGCTGTATATTCAGAACTATGAGAAATCAAGAAAAAGTCTGGTTATCTTACAGCTGAATGCTTTCCTCTCTACTGTGCATTGCACAATATGCATTTGCGTGTGTGAGAGAGAAGTGATATAAATTATATTATAGTCAGATAACACAAGCGTGTTATAAACTCAACCAGCATCACACATTTATAATGTATGCAATCCAGTATCAGCATTGTTATTCCTTTATTATTTCAACTAAGGGAGAAGAATCCATTGGCACCAATGAATATTGTCTAACTCAAGTTTTGAAACTTGGATGGTTGATCAAAGATAATGAGGTTGAGATCACACAAAAAAAGAGTTTTATTGATTTTTCTTTTTAGAAAGAACAAAATCAACTGTGGTATCAGAATGAGCGCTGACGTGTGTGTGTGTGTGTGTGTGTTTTGTTAGACAATTTCAGTGACCTTTTCACAAGGTTATATCCACATCTATAGAAAGACCAGTTCTCGACTCTCTTAGCGCCATTCGTCAGGTTTCCTCCAGCACATTTTCCCTCAGAAGACCAGCCTACTAATGGTATTGAATCCCCCTCCCCCGCCCCCTCCACCAGATGGACCGCAGCTCCCTGGTGGGTTATTGTCATCTGAACCGTTGGGCCTGAATGAGCAGGAGGACGACGGTGCCTGCAGAGCCTGGGTCCGAGCATTGAGCTCCTGTTCCTATGGACATCGTGGAGGACAGAGGAGAGCGCGTTAGATCAGGACGGAAACGTAGCAGGTATGCCCACGAGTTCATTTAGCATCGATGTAGTACAATTGGTCGGTGTCACTTAACATTATTACTTCACCCTCATCTGGAGGGGACTTACTTCACTCACTTAAACAAGCGCACTAGAAAGTCATCTTTACACACTACAGTTCAATGACTCGTGAAATTACACCTTGTGTCTTATAGGACAGTTCAGATTTTGCTTCAAGTTCACACACACTCACACACAAAAAGGAAGAAAAAGCGATACGCGTCTCCATCTCCTATAAAAGTATAGTCTGCTTTCACTCGGCATCTCTCCACCGGAGAGGATCTTTTAGACCTCTCATAATGGAGTTTGTGGTAATGTTGTTATGCATCACACGTCGCAAAGCATGAAAAATAAGCAGTGGTTTTACCCAAAACATTCAACAAACCTGCAACAGGGTAAATTCTTGCTGACTTCACAGTTGGCCATCATTTAGTGGTCTAATTTACAAGGAGTCATTTTTAAAACTGGAAAAACAATGCCTGTGTCAGGGAAAAGTCTTTTTTTTCCAATTCACCCCCACATACCTGTAAATAGAGCTTGTTGTCCTTGATTATAGCATCCAGAAGTTCTTTCTGCAGGGGAGGCTCAACACTCAACCGCATACCGTTCGCCATCAGTCCCCCGTTCACGTTCTGCTTCCTGTACATCAGCACATACGCCGTGTCCTTGGGGAAGCGATTTGTAATGTTCTGCACGGACTGGAAGGACGTGAATGTCACCCTGCTATCGTTGAACAGCAGCCAATCCCTGGCCTCCTGGCCACTGTTGGGTAGCGCGACTCCTCGCTCAGGTGGAATCGAGAGAGCCGAGCAGGTGGAGAGGCCACCGTCAGGGTGGCCGTTCTCCAAATCCTCCCTGAGGGCAAAGTGGTTGGCTGGATGCTGTGCGCCATCTGCTCCATTAATGTTGTGACCATAAGAGTAGTAGTGGCCGCTCTCCGACGACATCCCAGAATGCATCACCACGGAGCTGAGGACATACGGCACTGACTGGACCGACATCTCGCCCCCTTTATGTATCTGCTCGGCGCCGACTGCTCCCTCCTTCTCCTCTTCCTCCTCGTCCTTTTGCGACGGTTTGAGCTTCTTGGCCAGATTCTCACTGCTCTCCGGAGAATCCACTTGCAGAGGAGAAGAGGTACAAGAGGAACATTGTGTAGGCATTAGAGGGGCGTGTACGGGAAGTCTCATGAGCGGCGGGATGGTGACGTTGTCCAATATCTTCCTCCGGACATGGCATTTGGCATCGTATGAGAAGCGCAGCAGGGTGAGGATCAAGTACTCTGGTGCCGACACCACTTTCATGGTCCTCTCCGCCCGCTGGAGGGAGCTACACTTCTCACAGAAATAGGCATTCTCCTCGTCCAGGATCTCGGGAGCCAGGAAGTAGTTCACCAAGTCTGGCACGGACAAAGCAGGCTCATTCGTCACCGGCACAAACTGGACATTGCTTGCCGGTGCTTTGGCCGAGGCCGCCTCGGGAGTTTCACTGCCGCCATTGACGGATCCCTGACAGAGGACCTTGGGCTCCTCAGAGGGCCCCTCAGGCTGAGGGCTGCCCTGAGAGGCAGAGGGACAGAAGGCCAAGGAGAGGTCTGTAAAAGGCTCCTCTTTCTCAGAGATGCAGTTGCACTGCATGCAGCGGATACCTGTGATCAGCTTCCCGCCGAACGTCCTTTCTATCAAAGTCCTCCCGTCATTCTCAGGTTTCATTTCGTCAGGAGACAAAGATGAATCCTCGCAGTTGTCCGGAGGATTCTGAGCTTGTGGGTCTTTGCTGCTTGTGTTAACAGGGGGAGCAACCTTTGGCTTAACCGATTCCAGGACTTGAAGTGTTTTCTCTTCTTCGTGTAACCTTGAGATCAGGGGACATCTCAACATTAGAGGAAAGAAAATGCACATCTGCAATATTGATTTTTATTTTCCGCACTGCTTGAATAGAGTAATAGATCTAGTCCTTCCCAACAGAAACCCCTTAGTCACAGTGCGGTTTGTATCAGAAAACCACAGTCGTGCACACTCAGAATTCTTAATGCTTTCTTAATAGCAAAATCCCTTTTATTTAGTGACAACCAAAATGTTGTGCTAAGATTGCATAATGTCATACATTTGAGAAAACATTAAATGAATGTGATTTTGTATTTCTAATTAACACGATCCAATTCAGACTGTGACCGTACCTGTCGAGAAGGAACCGGAGGTACTCCGAACAGTCCTGCTGAGAGCCGACATTGAACCAGGGAGGCCGAGACGCCTCCAAGAAGTTTTTGGGGGCATATGCTGCCCTCTGCAGGGGACACACGTGCAACGCAGAGATGTCGCGTCATCAACTGTTGCTTGTTGTCTTTTAATATATTACACAAGACAGCACTGACCTGAGTGTGTGCGAGGAAAGCAAAGAGCAGCTGGAGCTTTTTCATTAGCGGGTTGGAGCCATTTAGATGCAACGATAAAACATGCCGCCGAAAACTGTATAAAAAAAATTAAAGAGGGTAACTACACTCGAACTGGCCATAATTTAGTCATTAGGTTTCAGTATATAGCTATAAAACTGCAACAAGTGTGCATGTCTTTTTGCATTCACCACTCACTCTGTGGCCATGAAGAGAGTCTGGATGATGCTGTTCAGGAAGCAAGTGTTCCCCAGGTTGACCAGGCCAGTCTTGCCAGTCTCAGACTTTCCAACCAGCCTCAGAGGACCTGAAGCGAAGGAGTTGGATTGGGACGTCCAGGCACTTTGATTCAACACCAGCTTGATCTTCTCCTCTCCTGGTTTTGGAAGATCCTGGGAAGTGACGTTTAAATGATTAGACGGAGCACATTTTATTCACGCAATGTGGGAAACCCCCTTCAAAGTTGAGTGCACAAGGATATATACAGTGCGTTTGCTTACCTTGATGGCCTCGAGTATGTGGTCATAGAGGTCGGGGAAGCCGGAGTACTGGTACATCATGCAGTGAATGAGCTCAGTGAACTGCAGCAAGAATGCTTTGCTGCTGTGGAGACCGTCTGTCCTCAAAGACTGGACGAGATGGACCACGTGTGGAACGACCTGGGACGGTGACGTATGGAGAAAAGAGAAGAACGTTGAGAACCCCGTGGATACGGAAGATACTGCGAATATAAACCATAGAAATGTGCAGCACGGCCAGCCAGAGGCTAGTTGCACCTCAGGAACCCTGCAGAGGGTTCAAATAATCTCTATTTTAAATTATACATTTTTAATACTAAAAAAAATGTTGACACTGGAGTGCTTCACACGTCGTTAGTGGGAGGGCGCAGCCGACCCTTACGTTCTGGGAAAATAAGCCGTCTCAGCTTTGAAGGGATTTAAGCCAGAAGAGAAGAAAATGAGAAAACCAATGAAGTGGCCGGATGAGAGGGAAATGGGCTGTGAGGAGGAAGGAGATACCGTACCAGATGGAAGGCTTCGGGAGAGTGCTGGAAGCTCAGCAGCATGTGGGAGAGCACAGACAGCGCCCCCTGCCGCACAATGGGGTACCACAGACGACTGAATACCTGTGGGTGAAAACAAATTGTTATTTACCTCATTAATACCTTCATACAACAACTGGGGAAATAAATGTAATGAGAAAAAAAAGTGATGCAATCCAGTTTAATTATTACTGCGTTCCCAGTACAAACCAGTTCAATTTTAAGCAGAGTGACGTCTATGAGGATAGTGAACTTCTGAACTGCAGCCAGTCCCTTCAGCAGAGCAATGACCCAGGTATCAACATGTTGGGCCAGAGGCCAAGAAAGCCAGTCAATCATCCTAGACAGAAAGACGTATACAGAGTGAAAATAATGCACAAACATGCAGTTAAGTTATGGCAACATTGACCTTTGATGATTAGATGTGAGAGGTAACCTGCAGAGTGCTTTAGTCATGCTCGCATCTTTGACATTGTGGTCCGTGGTGAGACTCTTGATGAGCACGGTGATCATCTGGACGGGGATGTGCTGCACCAGGCTGGCCAGAGCGATGGAGGGGTCGAAGGAGGGGTCTGCAAAAAATCAATCACAGTAGAATGACGACACATCATCATCCTTTCTTTTTTCAAATCAGTCGAGAGTAGTAGTGGTGGTGATGATTCTGTAAGAATGGAATGTGCCTTTCCAGTGTAATCTTACACTTGTCATCATTAAAGACCAAAATGTACCATAGTGCCTTTAGATATAATGCAGTGAAACAACACCACAAACTCCGGCCTTGTTTTAAAGATAAATTGATGTTTTGTCCAGCTAATGTGACGTTTGGTCCCGGTTTTAGCTCCTTATAAATATCCAATTTGTCTTCCCATTGGATACGAGATAGAGAAATATATCTTGAATCACAGCTTCGCTTTGATAATTTCTGGAAATATTCTGTGTAATAGTCTCTGTGTAATATCTGATAAGAGGAATGGTGCCTTGCTGCTGGGACGGGATTTTCACAGCTGCCTTTTCTGAAGCACAGCTCACCGGAAAAAAAGAAAACAAGGCCTTGACCTTTTGACCCCAAGGAGCATCATCTGCATCGCTCGCTGAAGGATGCAGTCAGTGTGTCTATATAAATGAAACTGCTGTCTGTTATTTCGTGCTGCTCCCTACATTAGTATTCTGAACTCAACGACACAGTCAGAGCTAAAGCTTCAATATTTGCCCTTGACAAAAATGCACACCTTGCAGATTAGAAGGCTCTTTGCTCTAAACATTGCTCCAAGCAATGTTGTGTGTAAAGTGAGGCCACTACCTTGAACAATGAAAATAAATCAGTGCCAATAATACTGAATGTATAAAGACCAGCCAACCTATTCAAAGGGGGGAATAAAGACACAGGACCAAAGCCGGCTTTTGGCAGAGCCCCTAAAAAGAACAACTCCGGTATTACTGCCAAGATGTATTAAGGCAGAGTTCCACATCATGGTGCCATGCTGTAAATGGCTGAAAGTACTATTTTTATCATTATTGGTATACAGACATGTAAAAATATATTAATAAATCCACATGTATTCTTAGTGTAAGCTTCTAAAGAACATCTGTACCTACTTCCAAGTGTTCCTAAACCTACTCTCCAGACAACAGTGGTTGTTTTTGTATTATAAAAAGATTTTGGAAGGAAGAAAGAGGATGGACAGAAGAAGTCTTACCTGTGGAAGAGATAATTGAGAACACTTCCTGCAGTGAGGGAAGCAGTGTAGCTGGATCAGCCTTCCAGATGTTCTGCAGCAGTGTGCTGACCTTCGTCACCTGACCTACATACTCTCTCAGCTCCCGTTCTTGGCTGGCAAAGCAGTGGAAGTAGCTGATGGTCCTCACTAGCTGCTGGCAGAACAAAACACCCGACTTGTCCCTTGGGATGCACTGCACAAAGTCTGACAGCACGGTGCTCAGGTGGGCACAAAGAGCTGGCTCTGGGCGTTCACACACCATCCTTAAAACCTCCACCTGAATCACGCTGAAGATCTCAAGCACAGAGGGGCAGCTGATGAGCAGCCGCAGGCAGCAGTGAATGTAGTCTATTGTGGCCGGGTCTTTGCGGTCCAGCTGGCCGTAGCCCTGCTGGAGGAGGCCGAGGACAAAGTCTTTACTGAAGAAGCGCTCGAAATCTGGCCGGTGGTAACGGGCGTAGGCTTCCAAAACCTGGAAGCCGATCTGCTTCTGAAACGCATCTTCACCAAGCAAGATGAGGCGGGTGGTAAGGGTAAACAATGCCTGACACTGCTCCTCCGTCACTTCTTTCTCCGCTGCTTCCACTACCTTCTTCACAATGGCCCGCTTCACCGGAACAGAGTGATCCGAGCTCACAAGGCCCTCCAAAATCTTGTCCATGGTGACAATCTGCAGAAGGCAAATGAGGAAATAATTAGGTGACGCATACAAATGTAATATCGCAGTTTAAGGACTATTGTTCTTCTGACTTTACATACCAGAAGAGTCCTGTCCAATCCAAGATGGGCTTTCTTTCACAGGGAATATTTTCATATGACCCTGCATAAAAGGACAGATGTAGAAAAAAACAAAAATGAACAATGGCTGAGTTCCGTCTGGCTGCTTCAGTTTGAGAGTCCTGGTGTTGTGAATGGAGGCTCACTTACAGCGATTATGGATTGGTATTATTATGTCTGTTGTGACAAAAAGGCAATAAACGCATGGGGTCCTTTCTAGCGGTCTAGTCCACGCATGCCCGCATTCATTGAGGGCACAGACTGTATGTCGCAACTGAAACAAGAGCTTGTACACTTTACTGGGATGTGACTATCAGGGCGAAGAACTTTGACAATCAAATGATCTTAGAGCTTGTTGTAGATTTCTTTTGTTTTGACATCTAATTACAACAACTTTGAAAAGGAAAAATATATAAATATTATTCATTTCTATGTAATCAATATCCAAATTATTGATCATAGTTTTTTCTGTATTTTACCTTTATTTTGTTACGTTCGCATTACATAAGCCTTTAGCTACCCGACGTAACACAGAAGCCATTAAACGTTGAAGCAACATAAAATAACTTCACATCTGGTGTTTTCTCGCCGCGTCGGGAGCGCAGCGACAGCGGGCTGTTGGTGCTCCTCCTGCGGCTACAGGCGGCTAGCTTGCTAACGCTAGCTGTAACGACAACGGTCGTTTCTTGGCGCCCGGCAGCTCAAATGCGGCTCTGATAGTTACAGGTAAACTACTAGGGTTCGTTCTGCCGCTCGTACGCAACAGTTATTTTCTAAAATCCTTCGACAACAACACAGAAACACGAACAAAGCAACCCAACAGGCCTACACGTTCGCTGGGTAACGTTAGGTTCCTCTGACTTAGCATAAATACGGTCGTGTATTTTCGCGATACAGAATCGTAACCATCTACGCTTACCCAGATAAAGCATGTCAACAATGTCCGAACCAGATATCTTCAGTTGTCGGTGGCTGTTAACCGACTCTTGACTGATGAAACTATATTATTTTGCTTCATTTGATCGCTTAGAATCAGCTGATTACCCTTCCATCGACGTCATTCCCGTGGACAGAGACGTTAGCAGGACCCCTGTGTGAAGTCATTTTTGTCTTAACACTGCCTGTAAAAAAGTCGGTGAATTTTGATAGCAACAATCACAAAGTGGTTCCCCGTAAACATGATTTGCACATTTCTTGTGATATTATATTATTATATGATATGTAACCCCATTGAACAGTTGACATGCTGCCGTCAAACAGCCACCTCCACTTTGAAAGACGAACTTGGATGAAGTGGAAAAAAATGACTTGCATTTTAAATGAATGCTGCAACATTTATTGTTGTTATCTTCCATGTAAGATAACATCTCCCCCTAGACTATTACGGCCTTTTTCTTAAAAGCCTAACATTCACAATTTAGAAAGGGTTTATTGGCAACTACGAGGATGTGGCCTTGGTAATTAATACATAGCAATAAACACAGTACAACAGTATAAGACATTTTTTAGAACTCGAAAATAGGACAAATATACGGTAAGTGAGTAAGTAGGCCTGTATTTGAAAAAGTATTTATGTAGTCAAGCACATAAGATCCTGCTTCAAAACAATTAGTTTGATGTTTTCATGAAGGTACAAAAATTGAGTCCCCCCATTGAGTGTGAATCGAGGATAATACATTTATTTTTGATGTATTATATATATTTCACTAATATGTTTCACTGTTAAGCAAACGGTAAATTGAAAAACACAGGACGAGAAATCATCTGAGCCAAAACAAAAGACAACTGCCACTAAATGCAACACAGCACAGAGTGACACTGTATTGTTTTTTTTTCAAACATTACCACAATATATATATATATATATATATATATATATATATATATATATATATATATATATATATATTTACTTTGGTGTATTTAGTTTTGTTGGTGTTTATTATGTTTCCGGAAATAAAATTGAATCAAAACCAAATCTCGCGATAGCGCAGAAGCCGCGAGCGCTGCGTGAACGCGGGTGCCAGACTAAAATCTTGCTAGCGGGAACGTGCTGGCGCTGCGACCAACCGGTGCGTCTTTCATATAAACAACAGAATAGTTCTCTCTAACGGCGAAGAAGTTAGCGGAATTGTCAACGTCGCGTTTAAGGCACAAAATAGGATACTCCATAATCGAAGTGGAAATTCGACCAATATGTCTGAAATCCTAAGCTGCGTCGAGCAGCGGGAAGAGCAGCCTGAAGTTGAAGAAGCCGTAGGAGCGGAGGTAAGATGATTTTAGAACGGGCAACGATCACGTTATTGTCTTCTCTCAGCAAAGCGCAAGTTCTTTCACAATCAAGGCACCACAGCTCTGAAACCAAAGCGTGTCTTTGCCCGTTTGTTATTCAAATAAGGCTGTTATGACTTTGACTCGTTAGTCAACCGTACCGCCGACTGCTTGAGCTAAAGCTAACTGGCCTTTGCTAGCCGCCGCGCCGCTGCGGTTAGCTCGCGACAACAACAGCTCGGTCCCATTCACCCGGGACGTGAAGCTAACGTTACAGCAGCCGAGCAGCAACAAGGCCAGACGGGTTCACAAAAACGCTCTCGCTACTAGCACAGCCCCGCTAGCAACCCGTCGATTATGACGTTAAGATTTACTCCCAGTTCAGATTCACACAGCGAGCTGCTTTTTTTTTAAAGTTGATCGAGAACGAGCAGCCTCCCGCTCGGCTGTTCTGACCGCGTCTTTGTTTTCAGCAGGACAGCAAAGCCTTTTGTAACCGATGGGATGCTGTAAGCCCGCACGCTGCCTTCCGCTCAGCTGTGTTGATGGAAGTCTAGTCACAAACCGTGTTAACCATGCACAAGTAAACTGCGTCTCTCAGCAATCAAGAGTACTGGAGCTGACGCATTGTTTAAATACGTTGAGTTCCACAGTGCATTATGAACACCTATCATGCTTAAATACACTATAAATAACAGCCAGGGGCGCTAAACCTTATATTTACATTCATTTAGCTGACGCTTTTATCCAAAGCGACTTACAATAAGTGTTTTCGAGCATGGGGATGTTTAGCAGTAATAGTATACGCAGTATCTATTGGGAGAAATGTTTGGACAAATAAGGAACCATAATACATTAGACACAAAAAGTTGCTCTTCAAAATTTGATTGGTAAAAGGATCTCGTCTTGGCAAATAGGGGTGTTTCGCAGCACCGAAAGTGAACTGAAATGTGCCTCATTGAAAGGCCGCACAGTTCACCAGGTTGAGCTATTTGTGCGAGACCCTCAGTCCAGGCTCGGACCCTCTGAGCAATGGCAAAAACAGCGAGAACCTAAGACCTTGAAGTAGTCCTTCTTCACAGACCACAGGGGAAGGAGTGGTGTACAGTTTGTCTTATCTGTTTCTGTCTGTTGTTGTTTGGAGGATTTCCAGTAAACCAGAATGTTTACCGTTTTCCTTCTCAGGAGAAGTCCGATTCTTCAGAGACTGGAAAGGAGTCCTCTTCGGAAGCAGGGGCCGATGGACAAGATGCTTCGTCGTCCACCAAGGATTTTGCTCCGGGTTATGAGGAGAAAGTGGTAAGGAACCTTTTTACTGTTTATCTCTTTACTACCCGGCTCACCACTGTTGTTGGATATGTTAACAAGAACGTCTTCCTGTGTATCCAGCTTACTGACCGGACCAACAGATTTGAGTACCTGTTGAAGCAAACGGAGCTGTTTGCGCATTTCATCCAACCGGCGGCACAGAAGACCCCCACCTCCCCTTTGAAGATGAAGCCGGGACGCCCTCGGGTCAAGAACGATGAGAAGCAGAACCTGCTGTCTGTCGGAGAGTGAGTACGCGTGCGCACGCATTTGTTTCACTTGAGGCAGGTCACTCCCATTGCGATCCATGAGTCATTGCTTATTTTCTGTGCTTTAACAGCAACCGGCATCGGCGCACAGAACAAGAGGAGGATGAAGAGCTTCTGAGCGAGAGCACCAAGACCACTAACGTTTGCACTCGCTTCGATAACTCCCCGTCCTGTAAGCCAATGCCTGAATTAATATTTGGTTTAAAGTGAGGAGCGTTGCAAATGTATCTTCTATATAGAAGTATTGATGACACATTTTATTGTCTCGTTTAGATGTCAAATCTGGAAAAATGCGAGACTATCAGGTCCGTGGACTGAACTGGCTCATCTCATTGTATGAGAACGGCATCAACGGCATCCTTGCTGATGAGATGGTCAGTACTTTCTCACAGTCCAAACTGTTCACCTCGACACTTCAAATGGAGTGATGAATATCTATGTTTAACCTGCGCGCTCTGCTGCTGCTGCTGCTGCTGCTTCTTAGGGTTTGGGGAAGACTCTGCAGACCATTTCCCTGCTGGGTTATATGAAGCACTACAGGAACATCCCTGGTCCCCACATGGTGCTGGTGCCCAAGTCCACCCTCTACAACTGGATGAATGAGTTCAAGAGATGGGTGCCTTCACTCCGTGCCGTCTGCCTGATTGGAGACAGAGAAGAGAGGGTAGGCGGAGTCAGAATACTATCAATGTCTGAAAAGCTCAATCTAGCTTCCGATTGGTTTGATTTTAATGTGCTCGTTATGCAATGGCAATATAGTGAGTATGTTATAAAATATTCAGTATGAAGTCTGTATACTATATAGTCTGTCCACAGCCATCTGATTTAGATTTTGCATCAATTTCAGAATGCCATGATCAGAGACGTGCTGCTGCCTGGAGAATGGGACGTGTGTGTCACCTCCTACGAGGTACTGATCATAGAGAAGGCCGTGTTCAAGAAGTTCAACTGGCGGTACCTGGTCATTGACGAAGCTCACAGGATCAAGAATGAGAAATCAAAGGTCAGGCAGCCACCGACACAAACTGAACATTTACGTATGTCAGAGCCCCCTTTAAAATATCTCCTAATCATTTTTTTTATAGCTATCGGAGATTGTGCGAGAATTTAAGACCACCAATCGTTTGTTGCTGACCGGAACACCCCTTCAAAACAACCTCCACGAGTTGTGGGCTCTGCTGAACTTCCTTCTACCTGATGTCTTTAACTCAGCTGAGGTAATAATAACCCAAAAATGAACGAGATCTACAGTGACTTTTATGTTCGAATATTTTGGGGGGAAACCTGCAATTTATTCTGGTACTAATTGATTTATTCCCCCCCCCCCCCAAAGGACTTTGATTCCTGGTTTGACACAAACAACTGCTTAGGCGACACCAAGTTGGTCGAACGTCTTCACACTGTAAGTATTGCATTCTCCCTCTTGTCGACTTCCAACTAATCTCTGTGAAGTTGAATGTTTTCCTCTCATTTGGGTTAAAGCGCTCCTTTTGATTCGCCTCTTTTTGTTGTATAGGTTCTGCGCCCTTTCTTGCTTCGTCGTATAAAAGCCGACGTCGAGAAGACTCTGCTGCCGAAAAAGGAGATCAAGATGTATGTGGGCCTGAGTAAGATGCAGAGAGAGTGGTAAGAGTTGCCCCCTTTACGTCGTCCTTCTTTCTAAATTGTTGCACGCTGTCATCTAATATTAAGTCGCGTCGCTAACCCCCAGGTACACAAAGATCCTGATGAAGGACATAGACATTCTCAACTCGGCGGGTAAGATGGACAAGATGCGTCTACTGAACGTTCTCATGCAGCTGCGGAAGTGCTGCAACCACCCGTACCTCTTCGATGGAGCCGAGCCCGGTCCTCCATACACGACGGACCTTCACCTGGTGGTGAACAGTGGCAAGATGGTGGTGCTGGACAAGCTGCTACCCAAGATGAGGAAGCAGGGTGCGGTCAGGCAGTCACTTTGGGACGATTAACTGTTTTTATCTTTAGGCTACAGAATGTTAAAATGCAACAGAACGACACATACGCCACTTGTCAATAAGTGCTAATACTATAAGATACTCCAATCCAAGCTGGAGTTAAATCGAGTTCAGTATGTATCATATATTTATTATATAAAATATTACCTCTGCAGGTTCTCGAGTGCTCATCTTCAGTCAGATGACCAGAGTGCTGGACATCTTGGAGGACTACTGCATGTGGAGGAACTACAACTACTGCCGCCTGGATGGCCAGACGCCGCA